GTAGTATATATATATATATATATATATATATATATATATATATATACATACATACATACATACATACATACATACATACATATATATATATACATCAAATGACATGCGGCGCGAGCATGGGTCGGGCGAACAGCGATCGCATTCAGTCCGAGTCTCGCAATAATTCGCCGTTATTGTGGCATTGAAGTCACATGCTTTGTGCCGAAAGGAACGCAAAAGCCGCGACCTCTAATACATCGCAATTTCGTTCAATAGAGAGCCCATTGCGCCGATTTGCGATTCGGGACTCGCTCATTAGCGCGACTTTATATTTGGACAGGGCCGTTTTTAGTGACGCTTTTGAACCGATTAAATTTTTCCTACGCAATGATTCGACAGCGGATGGCGACCGAAATATCTATCGGAATGATGCATGCATCATTGTCGTGTTCCATTAGTCTAGACTTTGATCAATAAAAGTCTATCAAACTTATCAATTTTGATCTCGACTTATTGTTAGCAACAAGACCATTATCTTTTGATATAAGATTTATATTAAAGAATTTGTGACACGCGCGTAACGCGTGAACACACATACATACGTCTTATACACATGTATATTTATTTTTTTATTTCACAAGATAATTAACATTAATATCTCTATAATATTCGAATTATTTTTCGTGCCTGAAAAAATTTGTATAATTAATGTATAGACATTATCCTTGAATATAAATTGACATTAAATCTTTAATTTAATATTTTAATATTTTGTTATAAAAATCAAGGATTTCTAATAAAAGATTCTTGATCTTTTTTATTATAAAATTAAAATTTTTTATTATAAAAATAAAATTACTAAAAAATGATACAATAAAATCTCTGTTAAATTATGCTGAAAATGAAATAAAACTAAGAAAAATATAAATATATGAATATATAACTTCAAAATTACATGGAAGATTAATAATAATAAATATATATATATATACATATCACATAGTGCATTTAAAATAGCCAAATAGTCAAATTAAAATAGTCAAATTATTGATTCAATTAATATTTATTCCGATATTTGTTTATTGTAGTTTTATTAATAATAATAATTCATATTTGATTTTTAACATGGATGTATTTAATATTAAAATCTAAAGAGAGAAATTGATTATTTATATATCGAATTCAATGTCCATGATATCATCGATACAATTATATTTGATTTGTAGGAGTGAATTTAATTATCTCTCGTCTAGACATACATTATGTTTGCATAAGTTTTTTAGGTATGTTCTGTCTTGTACATTATGCAAGAAATGAAATTAGTTCGCGATAAAGCAAGGAAAATCTTAACTAAAAGACTAACCATTAATAAATCAATGAATAAATATAAATATTGCTAATAAAAAGTAATAACTTTTATCTTTCTCCTTGAGCGCGATATAAAATAAAAAGCAGATTTTGTTTTCGCATCTCGTATTGAAAATCCTTGTAGCTTTATAGTTCCTATATAATAAATTTGCTTTAGACGTATGTATTCTATAAATACATCCAATCGTGTTGAACCTTCTCAATCATCGAAATGATCGAAGTTCATTCTCAGCGTAAACGACGACGTAGAAACTCTACTTCGTGCCGTTTATTATGCGCACGCGAAACAATACACGGAAAAGTAATGTGCCGACAGGCGGTACAATTTGCATGATTGCTCAATATCAGTGTACATTTAACGACTGTCACGAATTGGCCGCGTTATCTCTCGTGCCTCGTATTTGCTCGTGTGGAATTGTGTGCGTATATTTTGCCGCTAATGACACAACGACCGCGCGCGATTAGCCTTCAAGGCCTTGGCCGCTTGGCTCCCCCATTTCGATATACCGCTTTATCCCTTCCTTCTTCCCGTCGCTGATTAGGCTCTACCCCCTACGTGTACGAGTACTTTTTGAGGTTTCCACTTATCGCACGATTAGACTATATCTCATCCATTAACAGATCGTTATATCAGAACCGTAAGAATGTCCGCTATTCGCTGTGAAGTGAGAATCACGAGTTTATCCTCAACGTTTTTGATCACGATAATGTCCAAGTCTACAAAATTGATAACGAAGTAATCAGCATTTTTTTTTTTTAGTAATATTACCGTTACATTTTATGATAAGCAATTATAATGATTCCGATTTTTTTCAACAGACGCTTGTTTCACAAGGTTTGATTTTCATATCTTTTCGAATATCAAGCCCTCTCTTATATAACATTAGAAAGGATTAAAATATTATATATCTATTATATAAATATGTAGAATATTAAGTGCCACCGCATACCTCAATGGCCAAAGACATTCGTCTGGAAAATGAGTGATCCAGGTTTAATTCCTGGCTGAGGTGATATTTTTCGCAATAAGAATTTTTTGTAAAAGATAATGGATTTTTCAAAATAATTATCGTTCCGTTTAAAAGGGAAATAACTATATAGCTTTAAATTGCTGCGTTGCAAATCCGTTAAAAATAGTGGTACATAGTTTGCAGTATAAATAACTGTCCTGAATTTATGAGATATAAATTCAATAAAAAAACTTATTAGACGCTACTTAAGACCCTTGCCTCTCGCACAATGCCATCATCTTATTGTCATCATATCATATATATTGTTAATATATATTATTAATTAAATCCTAAACCGCGATTCATATCATGAATTTTATAACTATTGTTCTTATTTGTATAAATATTAAATCTTCAGTTATAACGGTCGCCAATAAAAAAAAAAGGTA